TCCAATGTCAAGAAGTTTTCCCTCTGTTTTCTTCTAAGGGTTTTATGGTTTTAACTCTGACATGTAGGTCTTTGATCCATTTTGAATCAAATTTTGTATAAGGTAAGGGTCCAACTTCATTCTCTTGCTTGTGGATATCTAGTTTTCCCAGCACCTTTTGTTGAAAATGTGTCCTGTCCACAGTGAATGGTGTTGGCACCCTTGTTGAAAATCATTTGACCAGGGTTCATTCTGGGCTCTGTATTCTATTGGACTGGTCAATATGTTTGTCTTTATGCCACTGGCTTTTAAAAAATTTTTATTGAGATATAATTGACATATAAGTACCACACTATTTTGATTACTCTACTTCTCTATTAAGGGAACATATCTTAACATAATAAAGGCCATATATGACAAGCCTACAGCTAACATCACACTCAATGATGAAAAGCTGAAAGACTTTCCTCAAAGATCAGGAACAAGACAAAAATGCCCACACTAGGGGGATCCCTGGGTGGCTCAGCAGTTTAGCACCTGCCTTCAGCCCAGGGCATGATCTTGGAGTCCTGGGATCGAGTTCCGCATCAGGCTCCCTGTATGAAACCTGCTTCTCCCTCTGCCTGTGTCTCTGCCTGTCTCTCTCTGTCTCTCATGAATAAATAAATAAAGTCTTTAAAAAAAAAAAAAAGCCCACACTCACTATTTTTATTCAATATAGTATTGGAAGTCCTAGCCAGAGCATTTAGGCTAGAAAAAGAAATAAAAGGCATCCAAATTGGAAAAGAAGTAAAACTGTCACTATTTGCAGATGACATGATATACATAGAAAACCCTGAAGACTGAAAGAAAAAACCTATTAAAACTAACACACACATTCAGTAAACTTGCAGGATACAAAGTCAATATACAAAATTATGTTGCATTCCTTATATTTATAACAAACTACCAGAAAGAGAAATTAAGAAAACAAGCCCATTTACACTTGCAATGAAAAGCATACAATATCTGGGAATAAATTTAACCAAACAGGTAAAAGTCTTCTAGATTGAAAACTACAAGACATTAATGAAAAAAATTGAAGAATTTGTAAAAAAAAAAAAAAAAAAAGGAAAGATAGTCAATGCTCATGGACTGGAAGAATCATTACTGTTAAAATGTCCATACTGCCCAAAGCAATCTATAAATTCAATGCAATTACTATTAGAAGTCCAATGGCATTTTTCAAAGAAACAGAACAAAGAATCCTAAAATTTTTTTTTAAAGATTTTATTTATTTATTCATGAGACACACACACACACACAGAGAGAGAGAGAGAGAGAGGCAGAGACACAGGCAGAGGGAGAAGCAGGCTCCATGCAGGGAGCCTGACGTGGGACTCGATCCTGGGTCTCCAGGATCACGCCCTGGATTGGTGGCACTAAACCACTGAGCAACCCAGGCTGCCCAAGAATCCTAAAATTTGTATAGAAATACAAAAATCCCTGAATAACCAGAGCAATCTTGAAAAAGAACAAAGCTGGAGGATCACACTCCCTGATTACAAACCATATTACAAAGGTACAGTAATTAAAACACAATGGTATTGGAATCAAAGACACAGATCAATGAAACAGAAGAGAGAGCAGGGAAATAAACACACACATATTGGTTAATTAATTTCCATCCTAAGAGCCAAGAATATACAATGGGAAAAGGACACTCTCTTCAATAGATAGTGCTGGGAAAACTGGACAGCTGCACACAAAGAATGAAACTCAACCATTATCTTATACCATACACAAAAATTCACTCAAAATGGATTAAAGACTTACATGTAAGACCTGAAACTATAAAAAATCCTAGAAGAAAAAAATAGATGATAAGCTCTTTGTTACAGGTCTTGGCAATGATTTTTTTAATCTGACACCAAAACCAAAAGGAATAAAAGCAAAAATGTGTGACCACATCAAATTAAAACCCTTCTGAACAGCAGAGGAAACAAACAAAATGAAAAGACACCTACTGAATAGGAGAAAATAGCTGCAAATCATATACCTGGTAAGGAGCTAATATCCAAAATATATAAAGAACTCAAACTCAATAGAAAAACCCATAAAAACAATCTGATTTGAAAAATGAGGAGATTCGATAGACGTTTTCCCAGAGAAGACATACAAATGGCCAATAGGTAAATAAAAAGATGCTCAACATCATTAATCATCAGGGAAATGCAGATAAAACAACAATAAGATATCACCCTCACACCTATTAGAGTGGCTATTGTCAAAAAGAGAGGAGATAAGCATTGCCGAGGATGCAGAGAAAAGGGAACCCTTGTGCTCTACTGATGAGAATCTAAGTTGGTACACTCTTCAAAACAGTATGGAGGCTCCTCCAAAAAATAAAAAACAGAACCACCATATGATCCAGTAATTCCACTTCTGGGTATTTATCCCAAGAAAACAAGAACACTCACTTGAAAAGATATCTGCACCCCACCCTGGTTTACTGTGGTATTATTTACAAGATCAAAGACATGGAAACAGTCTAAGTGTCCATCGATGGATGAATGGATAAAGAAAATGTGTGTGTTGTGTGTGTGCATGTCATACATATACACACACACACACAATGGAATGTTATTCAGCCATTAAAAAAATGAAATCTTGTCATTTAGGACAACATGGATGGATCTCAAGGGCATTATGTTAGGTAAAATAAGTCAGACAGGAAAAGGCAAGTACCATATGATCTCTTTTATACAAGGGATTTAAAATACAAAACAAAGGAACTCACAGAGAACAGGTTGGTGGTTGCCGGAGGCAGGGGGGGATTGGGATGGCAAAATGGGTGAAGGTGGCCAAAAGGTACAAACTTGAAGTCAAAAAATAAATATTCTGCAGTTTCAGATATACCATTAAGGCTTTTTTATAAAATTTAAGCATGATTAAGAATTGTATATAACATGAAGTCCACTAAATTGCTACTGGAATTTCTGCTGATGTGACTTCCAATTTAATTTAGGTTAGATATAATCTCAAATGGTCTTAAAAATTAAAACCAGTAAGAACTCACCACTTTGGCAAGTTATAAAAAAAAAAACTTCCGAGGCTACACTTAAAAGAAGTTGGAACAGATAAGATTGTGAGGTTTTTTTGAAAGAATCCTTATGAATATAATTTTCAGATAAACTGGTAATACACGTGGTTTTCATGGATCACAAACAACAAGGTTAATATTATACGAAAACGTAGAGCTCTTAAAAATCTTGAGAAAACTAGGAAGGACGATTTCAAAATGACTGCATCATGGCTGACCTTGAGAAAGAAAACAATGCTTGTAGGGATGCCTGGGTGGCTCAGTGGTTGAGCGTGCCTTTGGCTCAGGGTGTGATCCCGGAGTTCCCGGATCAAGTCCCACATCGGGCTTCCTGCATGGAGCCTGCTTCTCCCTCTACCTGTCTTTGCCTCTGTCTCTGTGTCTCTCGTGAATAAATAAATAAAAAATCTTAAAAAAACAAAACAAAACAAGACAAAACACAATGCTTGTAAATGAAAACAAACCTGTAAGGTACAAAACTGGAGGCTGTCATCTCTCTTCCTTGCTCTACTTCCAGGGCGTCAGCATCTCCAGGCAGGTTTACTGCAGGAGACTCCTAACTGGCTCCCCACTTCTGACTCTCCTTCTACCTCCACCACTCTGCTCTTCAAATGTTGTCTGCTAACCTTCCTAATGTGCACTTCTGATTGTCACTCCTTTGCCCCAGAAACTATTTCCCAGGGAAGGGCAAGCTCTTTGAACTTTTGCAGGATTGCTCCACACTCACCTTCCCAGTTTGATTTGACTTTACTTTGGTTCTCACCTAGGCACCAAGCCACAAGAACTACCCCCTGAAGGGCCCACACTCTCCTGAGTCAGCTCGTTGGCTGATTCTGTTCCCTCTGGCCAGAATTCTTTCCTTTCCCTGCTAAACTCCTACCTAGCTCACATGGCTCTTCTCCAATGCCATCTCCCTGTAAGATCTTTTACTCCAGTGAGCTGTCATCCGGTCCTCTGACACCTCAATGTACTTTCCAGTGCCTAGTACTCCATCTTAGAGCAAGTTACTTATTATCTCCACGGAAGGACTGGAAACTGTCTGAGCCAGAAGCTATTTCAAGTCCTACTCTGTCCCTGGAAGCAAGTGGCATAGTGCATTACACACAGGAGGCACTCAAGTATGTAGCTGAGGCAAACTATATCAAGTTCTCTCCAAGAAAGTCACTAGAAGGTAAAGAGTTTGGGTGCACAGACAGAAAACTAAAGGGCTGGTAATAGTATGTCAAGAAAAAGTCTCAGCATGTGTGAAATCTCTATCAATGACAAGAATATTTTACTTTGGTACAATTAAGAGCCATAGGCTTTTGTGAGGTCATGATGGAAAAAAAAAAAAAGCCACACACAAAACCTCTCTTTCCAGGTAAATAATGAATGAACTAAAGGAGAGAAGCCTTTAAAAAATAAACACGATTTTCCCCCAAACTGTAGAAAGTAATACACAAAAGTTAACAATTCTTTTACAATGAGATTATAAATAGTTCTAATTATGTAATTAGCCTCAAAAAAAAGAGCCTACAATACTTCTAGCTTATGTGAATTTACTAAGTCATAGGAAGCTAAGATTAAAAAACACTAGCTTTTCTTTAATCACAGGCTCCAAAAATGAATGAATGAATGAATCAGGACTTAATAGGCCCTGAATGAATACATGAATCAGGACTTAATAAGACCTGGTTCAGAGTTCACTATATAAACCAGTTCTTCTCAAAATATTTATGGGAAAGAACTGGTTTTGAAACACTTCCTATGTGTTGCAGATCAGTACACTCATAAAATACAATTAAAATGCTGCAGTAATGTCTACAGGGTGATGCATGCTTTTTGTACTTGTCATGGGCCAATAGCAAACTTTGCAAATAGGCAGCAATAATCTATTTCCCCACATCCACATACACTGAACCCGCTACCAAAGGCAGGGGAAGGTAGGATACATGCCTACCTTCTGCTCTTGCACCTCAAATACTGCTTCATGGACACTGCAAGCAAAAAGTGAGGTAGGCAGATCACTGAAATCCATCATCTCTTCCAAATCATCTTCATTTTCACCAAAAACCATCTCTTCTTCCTCTTCTTGGTCACTGCTACAGAGATCTGACTGGCTATCATTCCAAGATTTCATAGTGTCCCTCAGCATTATCCCCTAAAAGCAGGTCTTTTCCGTTTTTAAAGTTCTAAGGTGTCTACCAGGCATCTGGTGTTAAAAAAAGAAAACAGCATAAAGATAAGACTTTGAAGGCCAAATACTGTTTCAGTCAATTCTCAAGACAGCAATTCATCAATGGAAGCAATTTTATTCAGGAAAGTAAACCACAGAGTTTAAATCAATTCATTATAGTCCTCATAAATAAATTCTATATATTCTAATTTGGTTTGCTTAGCATATTTTATGTAATATATTTCACTAGCAATAATGTATTACCAAAAAAAAGGGCAAAAAGTTTTCTAGTGAAATTGGAAAAAAGGGGAGGGCAATACAAAATGAGACATATGAATATGTACGCTCGTTTACAAGCAGTAGGAAGGAAAATGTGAATCAGAACTGCCTTCACATATTTGTTTTGGGTTTTAAGTCTACAACACTGAAACTGGCAGCAGAACAAAACCCACACTGATTCATTCACCATCTGCACCATGAAATATGGTCTGCAATAAGATGACTTTACCTTTCTCAACCAGTTTGTTCTTTTTGAGTATACTCCCAAAGAATTAAGTTTCACAGAACCAGAAGTTCTATATAAAGTAGGTCTTTGTTAATATTAGAAATATTTAGGATACCTGAGTGACTCAGTTGGGTAAGCATCTGACTCTTGATTTCAGCTCAGGTCATGATCCCAGGGTGGTGAGATGGAGCCCCATGTCAGGCCCTGTGCTGGGTGTGGAGCCTGCCTAAGATTCTCTCTCTCTCTGCCCACGCACCCCACCCAAATACATAAATTAAACAAAAAAAGGAAATATTTATAAGAGGCAAAATCTGACATAGACAAAGAGATGTCCTTTTTCTGAGCATTTAAAAATTAATAATTTTAACCCCAACGCATGGAGCTGATAGTGTTGTCTGTTAAATAATGGAACAAGAGATGCCTGGGTGGTTCAGCGGTTGAGCATCTGCCATTGGGTCAGGGCATGATCCAGGGGTCCCGGGATCGAGTCCCATATCGGGCTCCCTGAGTCTGCTTCTCCCTCTGTCTGTCTCTGCCTCTCTCTCTGTGTCTCTCATGAATAAATAAATAAATAAAATCTTTAACAAAAAAATGTAACAGAGTCTGTCTTATACTAACATTTTATGGGCATGTCTGTCTCCTCTGATGAACTGCACCCACACCCTCCAAACACAGTGCCTTGAACATATTTCAAGATGCTGAAATGAAATTTAAGAAATACCAATCCAGCACAGAAAAATTAAGTGATCATGATTCTTAGAAAGCTTCATCTGTGATTTTCCACTTTGTTTCAAAGAACACAATGCTTCAAAGATACTGCTTATATAGCATACGTCACAGATGTTAATGATAGGCTAAAAACATCCTTTTTTATTATTATTATTATCGGTATTCTACTACATCAATCAGGAAAGACTAATCCCAAAAAGTAAAATCCTTACTCATTTTGATAAACATTTTCTGAATGCCCATTGCATGCCAGGTATTATTAGGGACATTAAATGAGTAAGAAACAGTTATTATCAAGGAGCCCCCCCCAAAGCAAGAATTTCTTCTTCTCCACAGCACTAACCACTCCTAAATGATCTTGTTCCGTGAAGTAGCTCCTATACTTTCAATTTCTCCTCCATCTGTTCCTTTCCCCCATTCCCATCCACCCAATCTTAAAAAAAGAACACCTTTCTTCTACCTCTCTGCCTGTATCTCCTTCACCTTTCCTATCAATTCTCCAGAAAAAGTCACCTGTTCTGCTGTGTTCTGTTCCTCAACTGCAGTCACCAGAAAATTTAGTGCCACTGGACTCCTATCACTACTGTTCTCCTGAAACTGCTCTCACAGGTCCAGCTCTGCAGCACCAGACACTGCTGCCCACCCATTCATTCTGCAACCTCGGTGTGCCTCTGCCTTCCAGGTTTCTGGGTCTCCGACCTTCCTGTCTCTCCTTCCTCACCACCTGTCTGTGTCGCTGGCTCCTCTTCTTCCACCTACACTCTACAACTTTGTCTCTGAGGTTTCATCCCCTTCCTTCCTCTTCATCTCCCTCTTCTTGGGTTGTTTCATTCACACTTGTGCATTTAACCACTTAACCACCAGTGCTTCTCAGCTGTGTTTCCTGCTTACCCTGTGGTTTATACACACAAAATGAGGCTACGGATACAGCCTCTCATTTTCCACAATGAACTGTAAGCTGGGAAAGACGTCACCAGAGCAGGAGCAGAATTTTGGGCAATGAAGGTGAAGGGAAGAGTTTGGAGAAAGTACATGACCCCAAGAGATTCTGATCTGCCTCTAGGTCTTCCTGCCTACACACACTGAAAGTCACTAATCTGTATGATTTGTATGTCCAGACTTAACAACTCTCTCTCCTGAGTTCCAGATTTCTATTTTCAGCTATTACACATACCTACCTGGGTGGCCCACAGGTACCACCATTATTATAAACTTTATACCTCAAATTAGATTATTGTGCTGGAAGTCTCCAATCTAGAAAGGGACCTGGTTGGGAAGGTGGTGGTGGTGGTATCTCACTGGAGCTTTCATTGTAATCTCTTCAAGACCAAGTTGCCACTTTTGAGTTCATAGCTCTCAGAGCACTTTATTCCTTTTTCTGTTATACACTTCTCTGATGACAAATCATGCCCAGCTACCAAACCACGAATGCCTTTGAATCCTCAGTCCCTGGCACAGTTTCTGGCTCACAGTATATGCTTAAGAGGGACTACTGAATGAAAGCAGATAGCACTGTGTTTACCCCACTGATATGCAGTGCAGACAAAGGAAAATTTAATTCCATGTGAGGTTAGAGACCATTTCCCCATGGATGTTATGGAGAAACTTAAGGATGAACAGAATTTCAGCAAAAAAATGATGCAGTGCATTCTAGGCAAAGCCAACAGTTCATGGACAAAAGCAGTACAGATCAGTGTGCACAAAGATCTGATGTGGTCAGAGGGTACCGTATTGGGTGGGGTGGCACAAGACAAAGTTAGAAAGGTGGGCATGGGGCCAAGCTGCCTTGAAAGCCGAGATACAGAATCTTGATATAAAAACCAGTCAATATCAGCATGCCGCTGAAGGTTTTTAGGCAGGGAAATGATATAACCAACTCAATTTAACTTTCAATATCACTAAAAGTGGACTATCCTTTTACCTCTCAGAGGCATTAATATTTTTAATCTTGTCTCACTCCCAACACATTAAAAAGAGGTGAGAAAAATACTGTGCCTGGTATTTTGGAGGCTGGAAAGTTGGGGAACTCTGAATGGCTAGATTTTAAAATATGAGAAAATCAAGCTATTTTTGGTAAGATTTTTTGTTTCAAGATCTTTCCTCCAACCCCTAAAAAGGAAGAAAAAAAAAAAATCAGAGCGCAGGAAACAATCCTTCACTTGCCTAAAAGAAAAAAATTCTTAGAATGTTACACCTTCATTTCCTGTTTTCTACTTTTACTTTGGGGTAAGTTTCTTCTGACATAATTTCAAACAGAAAAGTAAGAGTGGCACAAGGAACTCCTGTATACTCTTTACCCAGTGTTACCAATCAATTACATATTTGCCCATTTTTTAAGTCATTCTATTTCTATGCATATACTTTTCCCCTGAACCATTGCAAGTAAGGTAAATGTGCTATCTTTACCCAAATATTTCAGTGTGTATGAACAAGATCATTTTCTAACATAATCTACAGAACAAATTATTAAAACCAGGAAACTTAACACTGATATAATTTTGTTACCTAAATCAGCATCTATATTCAAATTTTGTCAGTAACCCCAATAATGTCCCTATGGTTGTTTTCAGATTTTTTAGATTATTAAATAATTTGCCTTTGTCCCAAGAGATTTCAATAATCTTAATAGTACTGCTACATTTTCTTCACTTATATATCACTGTGTATTTGATACACTTTAAAAGAATGGATTTTAGGGTGCCTGGGTGTTAAGTGTCCAACTCTGGGATTTGGCTGGGGGCACGATCTCAGGATCATGAGATCGACTCCTGAACTGACCGACACTGTGCCTGGCGTGGAGCCTGCTTAACATTCTTTCCCTCCCTCTCTCTCTGCCCCATCTGCTCTTTCTCTGCCTCTCTAAAAAAGTAATAATAAAAATAACAATTTAAAAAATAAAACAATGGATTGATGAAATATCACAGCAACCACAAAGACTGTTTGAACAATCTTTAAGTATATCCCAGGAAGATTCAGGCTCCCTAATCAATTTCCTACATTTAAACTCTGACTCCCCTAGTACTCTATATTACGCAAATTATTTTGTTTCCCTTCCCCTCTCAATTATAAAATAGAATTACAAAATAATAACCCTTACCCAATAAGGATGTCAGAAAGATTAAATGCTAAGTGCTCAGAACAATGCTTTGCATATAGTTCAACAATTATTTTTACATAGGCACAATCTACGTCAGTGCATTGTTGGGTTGAAGGGATGCCAGTAATATCAGGACCATCACTGGAACAGATATTAAGGCAATAAAATGAGAAAAGTACCTAATCAAATAAGCTAATTCCAAGCAACCAAAAGGCTACAAAAATAAAATGAACACTTTGTATAATTTCAAGAAAACTGTTCAGTGGCAGATGGACCAATGAAACCAGCTCAGAGCAACCACTGGCAGTAGTTAATATGGCTCCAGGAAGAACACATTCAAAGATTTAAAAACAGACAGCTAGCTGAAAAAATGCCACACTGTCTTTTTTTGTGGGCTCTGTGGAATTTTATGTTGTAATTCAGTGCACACAGTAATAGAGTAATATCTTTCAAAAGATGGTTCTCTTGCTGAAGGCAAGCCAGGACATTTTTTTTGGATATTGCTTAAGTCAACATCACCAACCATTCCATAATTTTCTGGCATCATAAATGCAGTTAGATTTGAACAGAAAGAGATGACCAAAATCAACCAATGGAAATGACAATCTTAGTACATCTGTAAAGAAAGTATCTTACAAGGTGACTCTGCTGGTACTTAACAAGTAGCTGAGTTTTTTCAAGACAAAGAAAAAAGTCACAAAACTACATTGTTTCTATGCTGTTAGTATCAGAATTGTTGCCAACTCTGCCCCAGTCCAACTATTAGGAGACCAAGCTGCTCCGAAGTTTACTAACTCATAGAAATACCCGTTTAGCAGAAAGGGTTGACCCAGTATCTTCCAGCTTCTGTAAGCTAAGGTCTGTGCTAATCAGGGTTTAGCATCATCTCAGGGCAACTGTAGCTGTGGCTGGCTTCTGGCAAATTGTTTCTTCATGGAAACATCAAATGAGTGGCAAACTCCAAGCAGCCTGACCATCTGCTCTACTACCAGCCTTGTGACAAGAGTAATCCGTCAAGGCAAAACGTCAGGCACGTATGTGTATTTGACTTTGCATTGTAAGTTTTTGATCAGGAAAAGGTAAATTCCTCCTCCTCCAGGATCTTTAAAAAAATGATTTTTCAAAATAGTATGCTTCTCAACTTGGTGAACTTTTAAAATACCTTTATTATTTTTTGATGTATTCAAAACGCTACTGAACAATACTGGAAACAAACAAGTACTCCCTTTCCAGTGCTACATGTAGTGCCCTGCTAAGTAACCCTGAAGTCAGTCATTTGGCTTTTTATTTGTTCTCTCACATATAAAATAAAGACATACTCACAAATGTCGTTGAACTACTAAATTCCTTTTAAAAACTTTAAAATTAGAATTTAGACTAAATTTCTTTTTTCAAAGAAACCCTCCAGAATCATCAATGTGGGGGCTCTGAATGGCTATCAGGTAAGTCTCAACTTCTAGTCCCTCCTCATTTACCACTAACAGGTAGACTTTTACAGCTTTTTAGTAGTTGTGGCCAAAAAGAAAAAAAAATGCAAAACTAAAGCAAGTGAAAATTAGATTTTTGTATTTTTTATGTTTCAGTGACCTATGCCCTCTTTTCACAGATAATGCAGAATTGGTACTATTGTAATTATTGAGCTTCAGTGCTCCACCAGGAATAGTGGTATTTCTTGGTGTGTGAGAGCGAACAGAAACAACAACAAAAATCAACTGTGGGAACAAATGAAAACAACAGGTTTTAAACACCTATTGAAGTAGCGATAATAAAGACTGATACTATTTGCTTTGCTGTATATAATGCATTTTCCCTAACTATAACCTCTACATTCTATGGGGAAAGTGGAGATCCACCCCCTGACCTTCTTCACCTTCTGTGGATTTTTTTTTGGGGGGGGGGGTTCTAATTACCAAATGGTATTGCACTTTAGGGCTTGCTTCCCTTATATCCAGCCTAATGGATTTCCAAATCACACTATTTTTCATGACGTTTTGCTTAAGTCTTTCAACCGACAAACCCTCTGGCACCATACAAAATGTGTTTTCATCTGAAACCTCTGATAGCCACATGTTTAAAAGCTTCACAAATGTTACAATTCAATAATGGGAAAAATCTTGTTTTCCCTAAAAGCACTAAAATCTCTTCCCAAGCTAGGACAAAAAGAAAAAAAATAAAAAGGTTTGCTGAGGCAGTAAAATAGAAAGCTGATGGCGTGGCTAAAGCCGCACAGTCCTCAAGCCTTTCACTGTCCCCTCCCTCAAAAGTCCTTAACACCAACCTAAAATCCCCGCCAAAAAAGTACACATTTGTGTGCTGCCCAAAAAACCTATACCGAGTCTCCATGTTGTACTGTTATAATTAACTGAACCGAACCGGAGCTAATGAAACAGCCTGAGATTATTTCGAATCCTCTGCAACCACAGCTACAACAATTAAGTCCGTTGCTTCCCTTACCAGCGCATCAGAGTCTTCCGCGAAATGCAGAGAATTCCATGAAAAGCGCAAACAGACGTGGTGTGCTTGGTGATTTTCAGTGCAGGGGCGGAGAGGATTTCTGGCTTTGGGCACCACGCTAAAATACCCCTAGTTTGCAACAGAAACTCGGGTCTGACCTGCTGCCGGCCCTGGACTCCTAATCCCTGAAGGAGAGGATCAGATTTTGCACGGAGGCTGCAGCGAAGCCGAAGCCGCCGCCGCCGCCGCCGCCGCAGACAGCGGAGCGAGCAGACGGCGGACAAGCCTCGCGAAGTCAGCGAGTAAAGCGGGGGCCGGCCGTGCCGCCCGGGGTCGGGGCGGGGCTCGGACTCGGGGCCGTCCCGGTCCCACCGACGGAGCGGGCTGGGCCTGTGGGCGACTCCGACAGTCCAACTGTTGCTGGCGGGCGGGAGCGAACAATTTCCTGGTTCTGGTTCCCAAGGCACCGCCCCGGAGCTGCCCGAGGGGACGCGGCGCGGCCCCGGGGCTGGACCCCGACGCGCAGCATCTCCAGGGTCTCGGGCACCCGCGGGCCGGGTCTCCCTCCCTCCCTCCCTCCCTCCCTCTCTGACCTTCCTCGCCCCCGCCCCCAGGCTGGCTGCACACCCCGCGGGGACAAGCCGCGCGCCGGCCCCACCCTGCCAGGCGGACTCACCTGCGCGCTCGGCCGCCGCAGGAGGGAGGGAAGGCGGCAGCGGCGAGGCCCGGCCGGCCCGACGCGCGACGCCGGAGCCCGGGGCCCGGGGCCGGGGCCGCGGGGGCCTGGGGACACAGCACAGTCCGCGCGGCTCGGGCCGCCCGCAGCCTCCCCGCCACGCCCTCGACGCTCGCGGGAGCCGCAGCCTCGCCGTGGGGGCGCCAGCGGCGTCAGGGCCCCGCGCGGTCGGCGTCGCGCGCGCGTGCGCGTGCCCGCCCCGCCCCCTCCCTCTCCCCCGCCCCCTCCCCTGGCGGAGCGCGCGCGCGCGGCGCAGGCGCAGGCGCCCCGAGGTCGGCGGCCGGCGGGGGCGCGCCCGGGCAGGAAGCGGCCCCGCCCCTCGCGCGCGCGGGCTTGGGGGCGGGGCGGGGTCCGGCGGCGGCGCGCACGCGCACGCGCACTCGGCGGTGTCCCGGGGGCTTTGCTGCTGGGTTTGCCGGGTCCCGCGCGGTGGGGGCGCCGGGGGCGCCGGAGCTGCTGCGCTGCGGCGGCGCCTTGGGTTCCCGACGGCGGCACCTCTGGCGCGCTTTTCGGCTCCCACGGGAAGAGTTGGTCTCCTTCCCGCCCTAGCTCCGTGTGTGGGCCACGAGGGGAGTCAGTGGGAGTATTAGGGGCGTGGACTGAGCGCCAGTTACGAGGTACGGCGCGCCGCGTGCCTGCGAGCTTTACCTCGGTTCACCTCGCGGGGACCGGAGGACCGGATCCTGTTAGCCGGCTCCACCGACGTGCTTGGCTGCCCGGGGAGAGGCGGCCAGAGGGAGCTGAGCTGTGGGTAGCCTGGGGGTGCAGCTGCGCATCCCGGTGTCCTCCCCGCCGCCTCCCCCGCCCCCCCCCGTACATATTAACATTATGTGCAATGCTAATAATATGTACGTTTTTAGTGTTTTGTTTTTCATTTGCAAAATCTTTCTCACGCGCAGTCTTGCCTGATGCTCTCAGAAGCCCCGGGGAGGCATAATTATGCTTATTTTACAAACAGAGCAAGCACCTAGGCTGTTCAATGAGTTGTCCAGAGTTACAATGGTAGGCAGAGGGCTTTCTTTGGCAGATAGCATTATTATATTTTCTTTTATGCGTTAAAAAAAAGATTTTATACATTTATTCATCAGAGACACAGGCAGAGACATAGAGGGAGAAGTGGGCGCCCCCCCACCGTGAGCCCTACGTCGGGCTCGATCCTAGCCCCCCCGCCCATCATGACCGGAGTCAAAGGCAGACACTCAACCACTGAGCCACCTGGGTGCCCCTATATCCTATATATATATTTTTTCTTTTCTTTCTTCTTTTCTTTTTTTTTTACAAGGCATCTAAGCCAAGCTTGGAAGTGACCCTGTGTCTCTTCCCTTGGTTCATGGAGAGGAAAACAGAGGCAGAGACCAGGAAAGGAATTTGTCTTAAGAGTGTGCAACTGGAAGAAAATCAGTTCTGAGCACCCACCCCTAGTCCCCTCAGGGGCAAGGCAAAGCAAATTGAAGGTCAAAAATCAAGGAGGCAGTGTTGTCAGGCACACAACACCCTGGGCATGGGGGAGGAAGAAGGATCAGAGTGTCTGGAATACATCTACTGATTGTTAGATTTACCCTGAGGAAGCAGGGTTGGATTATGATCCCAATCACACCAAAACTGAGCCTGCACCAGTAGGGAGATCACCCCTCCTGCTCCCAGCTCATTGCTTCTGTTGTTTCTGCTGCTTCCAACCCTGCTGCCTGCCAGTCATAGGGAAGCATGTGATGAAAAGTGTGATCTTAACTGTATTGTAAAGGCAAAATTAACAAAATTTGCTGATGAATTGTATGTACATATGAACATTAGAGAGGAGTTGAGGATGGAAGCATTTGGAAGACTTAGGTCTGGGGCCCGTGGTGAGCTCAGACCAGGTGCGGTGACTGGGGAGGGAGGTGTGATGGGTAGTTGAAGTCATGGTCTCAGATGAGATGACCCAGAGAGACCAAGGGGAATAGAGCAAAGAAAGAGCAAAGGGCAGAATCCAGAACAACGTCAGGTCTTTACATGGTGGGCAGAAGAAGGGTTGCCTCCTCGTAAACATCAGTTAGGCTGTGAGCAACTTGAGAACAAGAATGGAACCTTCCACGTCCTTCCTCTTTACCATTGTGTCCAGCAAGATGCTGGGCACACTTATATAATAAATGGTTCTTATGAATGAACTTTACACAGTTTCACATTTCTAACTCTCCCTCCTTCTCCTGAGGTTTGAGTTATGGGCAGAGAAAAAAAAGAGAAAGAGAAACTGATCCCTTGTGGCTCGATCCATTGAAAGCTGCACCAAGGTTGATAAGCATTTTGCTGTCCTGGAAAACTTCAGGAGAACCTATCAGAGGATGCTATAGATCCTCAGAAGCTTATCTCCTGACTTCTAGGAGAATTTCCAGACAGGCAATCTTCATTGCAGATTTTGTGGTTCTTATTTGATTAGATTAAAAAGTCAATACTTTAAAGGCGGCCAGGTGGCTCAGTGGTTGAACACCTGCCTTTGGCTCAGGTCATGATCCTGGGATCCAGGGATCGAGTCACACATTGGGTAGGCTCCTAGTGAGGAGCCTGCTTTTCCCTCTGCCTACATCTCTGCCTCTCTCTCTGTGTGTGTCTCTTATGAATAAATAAATGCAATCTTTAAAAATAAATAAAAGTCAATACTTTCAAAAAATACTATGATGGAAGTAGTAGATGTAGTAAAATATCTCTTTCTTACACTCCTGCGTTCCTGGTGTTAAAAAGGATACAGCCATTTTTTTGGAAATTGTTTGCCAGTTTATCAATCTAAATGCACAGCTACCCCATGACCCAGAAATTCCACTCCCAGTTATACACTCGAGAGAAATGTCAGCAGAGGTACACACACACGCTGATCTTAATATCTTTATCCATAATATCCTCAAACTGGAAATATTCCAAATATCTGTCAAAAGAAGAATGCAGAAGCTATGGCATATTCAAACAAGGGACTCTAGTGCACAATCATAAAAAGGAATGAACTACCGATACACATAACAACAAACAAATCTCAAAAAAAAAATGTTGAGCAAAAGAAACTGGACACCAAAGAGTCGTAGATGTGATTCCACTCGTATGAAGTTCAAGAGGAGGTAAAACTAACCTCTGGTGATACTATCGGAATAGTGACTACCTCTGAGGGTGGGATTGAGTAGAAAGGGGCACACGAGCACATTCGGGGCTAATGGGGATGTTCTTTCCACATTATACATTCAACATATCTTTATTGAATGTCTGCTATTTGCCAGGCACTGTTCAGGGCATTGAGGATACAGCAGTGGACAGAACAGACCAAGGCCCTGCTTTTATACAGATCGACCTCAACTCTTTTCATTGGCTGCATGGCATCAATGCATTTTAAATGGAAAAAAAAAAAAAGTGGCCTGTCTTTATGGATAATGACAAGCCTGAGGAACTTTCTTCTCACTTGCTTAACTGCTGATGGGAAAATACAGTAGGAAGAGCCTGCATTTTAGGGGGTCAGCTCCACCACTAACTAGTTGTGTGACCATTGAGCAAGCTCATTAAACCTACTGATTTTTCTCATGGGTTAACTGGCATCGATGATACCTGCTTTGCGGGGTTGTTTTATAAAGTTCCAGACACATTACAGATACTCAGTACACACTAGTTGGTTTATAATCAGTTTATAAATAAATTTTATTCAAAGCAGCAATATTTCGCCTCCCTTACAGCCATGTAAGTTTGGCCAGTGAGATATAAGGCTTAATTTTGGCAAATGAGATATGAGCAAAAAGCAGCCGACTTAGCTGGTAGGGGTACCCTCTTGCCTTTCTACTGTTTCTCTTTCTTCTAGCCTGCAATGTGAATGTGATGGCTGGAGCTCCAGCAGCCATTTGGGATCAGGAGGTAACCCTGAAGATTGAATGCTGGGATGGTGGATTGAAAAGAGGGGGATCCTGAACCCCCTGTGATACTGAAGCCACCATGCTAGCTAGGCCTGGGTTGCCTATATCTAGACTGCTTTTACTTGGGAGGGAAATACTATTTTATTATTAGGTGTTTATTGCAGCCAAACCTAATCCCCACTGATATCCCGGTAAGTCATCCCACAATCTAGTCTGGTCACTGATATATCCTCAGATCCTATAGCAATATCTGGTTCTAATACATAATAAGTTCTCAATAAATGTGGAAGGGAGGAAGGGAGGGAGGAAAAAGAGCTGCTTCTGATTGTGAGTGTAATGAGAAAGGAAGAGGGCTGAAGATAGAAGCCTGCCTGCCAATTAAGCTCTGTCTCCTCTCCCTCCCACCTCTCAGGCTCATTAATGTGCATTTGAGTTTACTCGATATTTAAATTCCTAATCTGCTTCACACTCTAGATCTCCTATGATATTCGTCTCACAGATGGTACATTTTACTGAAGAGCCTTAAATTAACCGGCTTCCCTCATAACATCCTCATCCGTCTCCCATTCCTGAAAAATCAGTCATGCTC